TGACCTCTTGGATTAGATGCATAGAGTCTTTATCTTTTCCAAGATCGACTTACGCACCAGGTATCACCAAATCAGAATGGGACTTGGGGACGAGTGGAAGACTACTTTCAAGACCCAGTATGGATTATACGAGTGGACGATCATGCCTTTCGGGTTGTCTAATGCACCCAACACTGTCATGAGGTTGATTAATCAAGTGTTATGAGCCCACATCAGGAAGTTTGTAGTAGTGTCTTCGATGATATTTTGGTATACAATAGATCCGAGGAGCACATGCAACACTTGAAGACGGTCTTTGAGGTTTTGCGATTAGAAAAATTATATGTCCATACAAAAAATTATCACTTCCTGATTGCACATGTATGCATTTTATGCTATATTGTGTCTAATGCAGACATTCAGATGGATCTTGCAAAGATCGAAGCCATCATGAGTTGGACACCCCCATAGTCTTTTACTGGGTTGACACAGTTTTTAGGGTTGGCATCAATTATGCAGGCATTTCATAAGGAGCTTCAGCACTATCACGACTCTTCAGACAGAACTTCTGAAAAGGAGTTCTAGTAAACAGATGCATCTCAGTCCAATTTCAATACCCTGAAAGATAAGGTGACTCAGGAACCAGTATTGGAATTATCAAACTTCAATGAGGTGTTCGAGTTGGAGTATGATGCTTTAAATTTGAGTATCACAGTAGTATTGAACTAGAGAGGCCACCCCATAGCCTTTTTTTAGTGAGATGTTGAATGAGTCTATAAGAAAATATTCGACGTACGACAAAGTGTTCTATACAATCATGAGAACTATTAATCCCTGGAGTCATTACCTGCTGATGAGCAAGTTCACCTTGTTTATGGATCATGAGGCTTTGAGGATCTTAAATGGCCAAAACAAACTGAAGGGTCGATATGAATCCTCAGTGAAGTTCTTGACATCATTCTAGTTCGTGCTTAAGTACAAGACGAGAAGCCGGAATCAATTAGTAGATGCATTGAGTCGTCTTCATTGCTGATCACTTCTATGTAGACTTGAGTGTAGTGAAGGAGTTGTATAGGACAAACGAAGATTGCAGAGAGATTCGAGAGCAATGTCGGGAGAAGCCTACCGAGCAGTATTACAGGGTTGATGGCTATTTGTTCCACTAAAATTGGTTGTGTTTTCCTCGATGTTTGTTGTGAGAGTCCATTATTCAAGAAAGTCACAACGGATGACTTGCAGGTTAGTTTGGCATAGACAAGACTCATGCACTTGTGTGAAAACACTTTTTTTACCCGATTAACGAGAGATATGGAGTAGCCCAGAAGGCAATGCAAAATTTATCATATGGTCAAAACCAGAGGGCAAAATGCAAGACCATATACTCCATTACCAGTATTGGAGGCCCCATGAGTGGATGTTAGTATGTATTTTATTATGGGTCTTTCGAGAACATGTGGCCAAAACCATAGGGCAAAATGCAAGACTATATACTCCATTACCAATATCAGAGGTCCTGTGGATGGATGTTACTTTGGATTATATTATGGGTTTTTCGAGGTCACAACGGAATAAGGATTTTGTGATGGTTGTGGTGGATAGATTCTTAAAGATGGTGCATTCCGTACCTTGCAATCGGATGTTAGATACATCACATGTATTTGTCTTATACTTTAGGAAGATTGTGAGACTACACGAGATATCTAGGACTATTATTTCCGACAAATATGTCAAGTTCTTGACTCACTTCTAGAGGAACTTTAGGAGGAAGCTTGGCACTAAGCTTCAATTTAGCTCAACAGCTCATTTCTAGACAGACAGTTAGACAGAGGTGGTGAACAGGAGTCTAGGGAACCTTCTGAGGTTCCTTGTGTGGAAAAATATTGAGCATAGGGACCTAGTTCTTGCCCAAATTCGTGAGTTGGATCACGTGTCGCCCCCCTTTTGAGATCGTATATGATTGCAACCCCCTCACTCCAATTGACTTGGTATAACTCCTTCTGACATCATAGATTAGTGAGAGGGGGGGGGGGGGGGGGAAAGG